AAACAAATCTAATATGAAGTCCTGAACGCCACGCCATAAAGTTGCTGGAATCCGGGATTGCAGTAGGACCACATGGGATCCCGCCAGAAGCACTGAAAACAGATGCAGAGACCATAGCGGACATGCTCACACCACTATTGCAGAAGGTTTCGAAGGAAGGAAGGAAGGAAAGGTAACTGCCGACTGGAAGAAGAGCTACCTTGTTGAACTCCCAAAGCACCTGAGCGACCAAAGTCTTGATAAGAACTGGCACGGAATCATGGTGCTGTCCACCCAAAGCAAGCAAAATATTAAGCCACATCATCCTGGAGAGGCTAAAAGATGCCCTGGACTCAAAATCTCGACCGAAGCGGGATGGCTAGGTTCAGGAAGTAAAATCCATGTGGGGATGAAATTGTAATGCCACGCTACATATCATCATAGAACGGAGTATAGAATGGCAACTCTATACCTCAACTTCATCAACTTTGAAAAGGCCTTCAACAGCATCGACCGACAAGTAATTTGGCAACTACTTCAACACTACAGTTTTAGTGCCACAAACCTTTATCAACCTCATTCTACAGCTATATGCCAGATGATGCCACATGTCAAGTGATTCACAATGGAAAGCTCAGTGATGCTTTTGAAGTGAAGACAAGAAGGAGTAAGACAAGGCTGCCACCTACTAACAACCATGATTTTCCTGTTTGTGGTCGACTGGATTATGTAACCAACTGTGAGGAGTGAGAAGAAGGTTATATGCTGGCCAGACCGATGAAATATTCCAGAAGAAGATTTGGATTTCGCCAACGATGATGATTTATTTCTAATGTTTTGTAGTACAGACTCGAATATCTACAGGCGAAAAGTAACAAGTTGACAGGAGAGGCAGTGGGGTGAAGACGGGACTTCCTTCAAGTGAATGTAGAGAAGACAGAGGTGACGAAGATGCCCAACCAACAACACCACCACCAAGAACAACAACAAGCTGCAATCACCATCAATGGAAGAAACTTAAAGGAAGTAGTCTCTTTCACCTACACCTACCTAGGCAGGCAGCATCGTCTCAACTACAGGCGGTGGCGGCACAGATGAGGATGTCAAAGCCAGGATCGGAAAGACAGCAAGACAGTCTTTCATTAATCTGAAATCAGTGTGGAGATCTACTCCACTCCACTCCACTCCACTCCACTCAGCATAAAGCGTGAACAACATCCACATCTTCAACACTAACGTCAGTCAAGTAACTCAGTACTTCCATGTGATGGTTGAGAAACTTGGCGCGTCACGAAAACAATCTCCAACAATCTCCATCTACTGACATACATCATCAACAGCTGCCACCTACGCTCACTCCATACTGACACTGGAGATGGAGATCACATGGATGACCAGAATGATAAGAATAAGCAAGGAGGAACTCACTCTGGTTGGTCCCACAACCAACCGAGGAGGCAAGAACCTATCGTATCGTCCAACAGATGTTCAGAAGAAAGTGGAGATGGATTGGGTTGAATTGAGCATACACTGAGAAGACCGATTGAGGACGTTAGGTGCCAGACCAGGTTGTCGAGTGGAACCCACATGGGGAAGGACGAGTTGGGAGTGTGAGGTGATGGTGATATGGAGGAGATTGTGTGAGGAAGAAATGAGAGGTTGTGTGCAGTGATGGAGTCAGGTTGGGAAGATTGGAGGGAAGATAGTGAAATGTTGACGTGTTACTGAAGCCTTATATTCCACTACGGACCCAAGGGATAACTGATAATAATAATAATAATAATAATAATAATAATAATAATAATAATAATAATGAAACAGTGAATAGAACTCAGTGGATTGTAACTTGAGTTTAGTTCCACGTCAGTTTGTTTGTTGAGTATTTTACACACTGAAGCAGTATTCTTTACAGAACCCAAGTTCCACGCTAACGTCAACCTTGAATTTACTTTGCGATGACATAATAGAGTAACCGAAGGTTTCAAAAGTACATAACTGGAGCACTGAAAGTATCATAGCCTATTTTTGAAAACACCAACCAAGTTTTAGGCATTGGATTGAAATGATCGTCAGTTAAGTTGTTCATTGATTATATTGAATGACTCTAAATTGATGAATTTAAAGGATCAACAAATACGCCAATGAAAATACTCAGGACAATAAATATTTGCCTAATGTTCAGCATATTAGAAGTGTCTTCTGAAATCAAAGAGCATCAAAATGTTTCTTTTGAAATAGGATTAATAGATTCAAGTTTACACTCGTTCAAAATAAAGCCTATAGTGAATTAACAGCCACTTACTTCTCCCTTTGCGAAGTTACTGAATAAATTCCTACTTTTTGAACAACCGGGTTTATCTGTAATACTTGATAGGATAGTCCTTCAGAAAACAAGTAAGTAATCAGGAATAGAGACTTATCAAGATGGCATCATAGTTGACTCTGAATACCATATGGGAAAGTGAATGTGTTTTACTATTGCTCTGTTGTTTTCAAGGTGAAAATAGGGAAGTTAACTCATCCAAATTGCAGTTAAACTTAACATCTATTGACATTCAGGTCTTACTGTCAATTTCAATGGCCCACTGTTATATATTAATCATATAACTCTATTGGTTCAAGTACCGCCACCAATAAATATTTTATCGTTTTGTCACGGATAAGCACTTCACACTCTGACCGAAGATTTTCTTGAAATATCTATATGATTTCTAGGATGGAGTGTATTTGAGAGTAACAAAATTTGAAACTTCTGTGCTAAGAAGCCCTATCTGAAATTGCCTTCATTGATCAAAACGTCTCTTCTAGCAATAAGTACCACTGTATTGGACACTGGGACAATACCATGAGGAAGCGGACAAATTGGTCTCCATATTTCAAGATTTTTAGATAATAACAAGCAATAATGCTGTCAAACTAAAAAGGAGGCAGTGGTTACTTGCGGACTAAATAGTCTACGAAAATATCGATTTCGTACAAATCATGCAGTGACCCATTGGCATCAGTCCTTTTAGGGCGCTTTGGGTTAATGAATCCCACAGTTAATAGTGGTAGATGTAAAAACTTCATTTCCTTATGAAATTCATGTCTGTTCTCCGAAAAACTGAAAGTGAGAAACGAAGAGACTAACTAGGACATCTATATGACAGCCAATATGTTTTCTGTTGTGAATGCTTTTTTCTAGGGTGCGAATTATCAGTCATGGAAAAACTGAGTGTCAGTGATTTGCACTCCTTGTTTAGATAATATTCGAACGTCTGTTTCTTTAAAAAATTGATTATTTTGTCGTAACTCTCCGAATGTTACTTCAGCGTATGTTTCCATTTGCGTGACTGGGTGTTTTGGTTCAATCGAAATTAAAGTTTGAGATAATTTAACTAAAAAAATGAGCTACTTACAACCAAAAAAGTAGTTTGCAGGAGTACGTTAAATAATACGTTTGTCATTTTCATTAACTTATTTTTTATTATTTCTTATTGTTTACACCGAGATTGTAAAGATTCCTATGCCAGTATGAAAAAGTTATCTAATTTTTCGCAAAATAATTATACTACTGCACTAGGTACACTTAATTTCATGTGTGGTTGTATTTATTGATTCCCCTTGTATTAAGTAGCATGGATTAATGACAGCATTTGAAATATATGAAAGGTTAATAACAATAATAATAATAATAATAATAATAATAATAATAATAATAGTAATAACAATAGTAGTAAATAGAATTTAGGGGTTTGGGAGGATTTAGAGATTTTTTAGGCAAGTTGGTACACATCGTAGACTGAGATCAGTTGGAGGAACAATGGAAACCTAGGAGCACTTAACAGCTGTTTCGTCCCAGTGTGGGACTCTTCAGCAGTGCACACTCACAATCCCACCAGAGATTGGACCCTTGACCTTTGAGTTCTGTGGCCAGTGCGTTACCATTGAGCCAGTGAGTCGGTATCCAATGTTCTATATTTCCAACTTCTGTCAGTTCGCGACATAGTGCCGCCATCACCCACTGCCATCAAAAAATACTCAACGAAAGCAAGTCAGTATCCTCTTAAAATCTATTAACATCACTGAGTTTGGATATTCTGCCACTAGACCACTGAAAACATCTGTGGAGATTAGGTATATCGTTGGGTGCTGTTTACTAGATTTCAGTTACTGTTTATCGATTAAGCAGGTATGTAACTAAGAGATACTCTAAGAATGTCAACAAGGAAGGAACCACCATAGTACACGCTAGTCACATTCCCTGAATGCGTATTTATCGAGAAGTTAAGACATTGAAATATTAGTTGTATCGACATTAGATACTTCCCTTAGTGTGTATAAGCTTTTGAGTGAACTTCAATTGTTAAAATTTGCATAGTCAACATTTTACTCTTATTTCCCTTTCGAATTTTTCTCTAGAAAATGCATACTAGAAATAACCAAATAGACAACAAATATATTTCTGCCCTAAGTTAGAAATCGGAACACTCAGAGACTTACAGACACACCTGCATACGTATGTGTGTTGTCTCATGGCAGTGAATAAATGATGGATCATGTCTTAAACTATTCTTCTGGAAAGAGAAAATAACTTTCTTTGAAGCAATATATTTAAATTCACTCCTGGGCTTTACAATCATTGGAGTAGGGAATTTCCCCTTTTATCTTCACATTACAGTAGTATTTATGATCATCGTAATTGGTTCGTTCTAGAAAAGTTATGCATACATTTTTACTGTCTTTTACGAATAGAAAATCTGTCTGTATGAAATAGTTTTTTTTAGTTAGAAATTGTAGCGCATTAAACCTACACGACTTTAACTGATTTCTTGGTACCACGCTTTTTTATGCACCCCTTTTAATAATTCTACACTGTACTCATTAGTATGAGTATTATTCATTTTCATTTAGATGTTTGGTGTTTGAATTCTTCCGACATTACTTAATCTCACTTTAATTGATAAGAAAAAGAAAGTTATTCATAAATTACCGAACAGATTGAAATCTACCTATTTCTTAAAGTTGAATTTCATACACCAATGGGAATGAATTCAAATCATTCTGAGAAAAGATTTAATGAAACCTATCTACCAGTGCAATTTCAATCAATTTTCAAATATGTATATGATGATAATATGAATGCAACTTATCATACGCAATCCAAAATCATCAATTTTCTTAGTATATATAAACATTTATTAAATATGAATGCTAATCACTTGGTAAACAGAGTCGATGATACTGCTACTACATCTTGCTTAAATGATCGTACGAGTAATTATACGTCTGAACTGATAAAAGATGGTTTACTTACAAATGATCAAACTACATTAAACCCTACATGGTCTACTGTGGTTCCTTTTAAATTACCCGCAATTGACACATATAAACCATCACAGTTGGGAACACACTTATCAATATCTAACACTATGAGTAACCGATACAAGTGTCCTCATGTACCTGAGTCACATTCTTCCATCAGAAATTCAAATTTCAAACCGAGTAATCCCATGGGAATCTCCTTCTCTTCTTCTTCTTCTTCTTCGTCTTTTCCTTTATTGTATGGAAGTTATACTAAGAGTAAATTCGACTCATCAGTAAATTCTAGAATAAAGCCATTGATTTCAGTAAATAAGGATACATTGTCTACTCGAATTTCATGTGTAGCAGCAACGTCAGTCATCATGTCATCACCTTCAATGTCCTCATCATCTAAATTGTCATTATCTCCATCATCATCAGCATCATCATCACCATTGTCGTCATCACCATCAGCTTTATCCTCAGATTCTATGAACCCATCATCATATGTTTCTAAACAGTTGACTGTACAAATTTTAAAACGTTTAGCTAGATTACCAAATCATTTAGGTCCATATATTTGTAGATTATGTAACCAATATTTTGAGAATGCACTTAAACTAGCCAATCATCGATGTCCATTGATACTCCATACTGATTATCGTTGTCCAGAATGTGATAAGGTGAGAAAGTACAAGTGTTGATTGTTGTCATGTTCAAACAACTTTTCTTGATACTCTTTTTTAGTGTTACCAAATATGCTTGATGGTTACAAGCTGATTTTCACAGAATAATTATTAAAAAATGAGTCATTTCTGATACATTATACCGTTATTTATAGGGACTTTTCATAACTATTATACCAAAATCTTAATAGATGGGAAATACACTTTCTAAACACGAAAAGTATGTTTTCCTATACTTAAGGACGTCTTTCAATCAGTTTATGATATTTCATCCTGGTTTGCTTCCTAAAAAGTGGTTTGTTGATTTTGAGTGATACACATAAATTAGCGCTCTAGGCTTGAAAACTACGTCGCTTAACATCCTGTGACCCATTTTCATTAACTAATGCAGTCGTACTCAGTCATGGACTGGGTAGCTCAAAGATTAGTTTTTTTGAAGTTTAACACTGATTGACACGAGTGTGAATCTTACGGCGAAGTTCAGATGCCTAGTAAAAAGTAAATCTTTAGTTCTTCTCTAAAAAGAAGATTCCAAATAGAAAGTACTACTATTGAATGGTTTGTTGCAAGTGATACATATTTTGAAAATAAGATTTTAATTACCTAGTGCAGATGAAATCTATCACAGAGTGGAAAAATGAACAAGGGATGAAGGAAATACATGTATAGTTACCTAATATAAAATAAATCTATGACAGTCAAGTCTTTATGATGGCCAAGGCAAAGATAAAGGTTGAACGTACCTTTTGGACGCATAACGCTGGTTTGAACTTTTGGATGGCTAGTGTTCCAGGTACAGATGAATGCCCTGATCTTACTCCCTTCGAGTTGTTTGATCGAACTCTGTGGAGAATTTTGAATGAGCTCTTAAAAGGAGCTAAGTGGCTTGAATTCACGAGGTGTTCTGTTGTTGAACTTAAGATACATTTCCATTCTCTCCTTTCCAGTCAGGCTGGGTAGTGTTAAAGGTCACGTCTTACAAGCCGCCGACCTTCGGACTATTTTCTCCTGCAAGAAACCTTTTGGTCAATATGTGAAAGACAAGCAGACGCATTGGGCCACATCAGGTGTGTCTATACCAGTTTACTTGCTCCTGTGGAGCTGAGTACATCGGCCACACCATGCGTCCGCATGTAAAACGTGCCCTCTAACACTACCCAGCCTGACTGGAAAGGAGAGAATGGAAATGTATCTTAAGTTCAACAACAGAACACCTCGTGAATTCAAGCCACTTAGCTCCTTTTAAGAGCTCATTCAAAATTCTCCACAGAGTTCGATCAAACAACTCGAAGGGAGTAAGATCAGGGCATTCATCTGTACCTGGAACACTAGCCATCCAAAAGTTCAAACCAGCGTTATGCGTCCAAAAAGGTACGTTCAACCTTTATCTTTGCCTTGGCCATCATAAAGACTTGACTGTCATAGATTTATTTTATATTAGGTAACTATACATGTATTTCCTTCATCCCTTGTTCATTTTTCCACTCTGTGATAGATTTCATCTGCACTAGGTAATTAAAATCTTATTTACATAATCCCTTATTTATTTTCCTACTGCGTCGTAGATTTAACCTGCATTACGTGATACATATTTGTTCCTTCGAAACTGGATACCGTATTCAAGAAGTACAGCGACATTAAACTTTCGACTGCATTAGTTATCCTGGTATATCTACAATTATTCGTGCTCCACTTCACTGACACTTTAGTCAAACCTTTTTTTCTAGCTCAAACAAGTTGTCCAAAGCAACCTTTTTTTAAAATTTAAATTTACTTTTTATAGCGGTATTAAGTGTATAAAATGCAAAACTTGTGCGCTACGAGATAAATAAGATGATTTACAAATTAATTTAGTGGCTTATAGATGCGTGCTTAAGCTTCCAATCAAAAATTACATTGTTTCGTTCTTGGATATTAAATGAGTGAGTAACAATGAAGGCAGTTACTTATATAAACCTATTCAAAGTTTCATGCTAAGGCAAATCATATGAACAAAGATGAAAGTTTACAACGTGATCAGGTTATGATAAGCGGTGTTTTGCTTTGTTCCTGTAGATCGAAAAATACATTTTCCTTCACCCCAGACATCTTCAGTCATTATCCCTAATAACGGATAGCTCAGTGGTGACGTCACTGACTAAGAGACTAGGTGGTACACGTTCGAGTTTCAGAGGAAACAATTCCTTCTAGGTCGCAGATACGTGTTTGCCCCGGTGACCTAGTGGATAACCCCATGGAGCTTGGTTAGAACAGTGCTGACGTCTCTGAATGGATCATTCTGTTAAAGATCACTTTTATGCCTCTCAGATAGCTGCCATTTAACAAATAGCTGCGGCTGGAGACTGTCTGAGGTGATTAGCATGAATGCGTTCAAATTGTAAAATAATTGAAAACAACAAATTCTTAAAACACTAACTCTATTATACTTTGTTGAGTTCTCTTAGTTATATCGAAATTGACTGATTGAAGTTAATAAATAATGGTTAACATAATTTAAACTCTGGAAGTTTACAGACTACTGCACGAAAATAACGAAATTTAGAAAACCAAATTAGGATGTGATGCGGTCAGATAGTGAGATAATGAAGGCCGATAGGTCTTGGACTGGAATGGGAATAAGAAGCAATTACTACTGAACAACATGAGTGCGTAAAAATCGCTAGTCCTGGTCAGAAGATTTCAAAATTCAGATGCAGGTGGTCCAAACATAGAATGTCTGTATTGCTACTTTGGAGCCGCAACCATCAGCAGTATACCCAATCAAATTCAACTGAATTTGAAAAGCTAACTTAAATGGACTGGTAAACTTATCATCTGATGTAAGATATTTGTTTAGAGTTTGACAAGCTTCAATCAATTTTAACAGGAAACAAAGAGAAAACTAACATTTAATTTGGTACATTTTCGGAGAAGTATTGACTAAAAACTAAAATAATGAAGTAAGGTGGTGAATGAATTCAAGAGAAACTGACAACATGAGTTAAATGATTGTTACAAAGTTCAAGGGATTGGTATGAGATGAATAAATAAAATGAATGCAAATCATATTAGCTGAAACGACAGCTGAAAGTGAATTCTGTAAAAAAGAAAGTGAAGTGATATTTCATAACTAATTATAAAATATTCACCATGTTAAAGAAAGTTTGTGAACATCTTCCTAACAATGTGTGTTGTTTCTCAATCACTTAGTAAGTACCGCTTCAGCAACAAGGGGATGAAGTTCGAATTCATAAATTTGCTTATAACTATATATCTGCTTTGAGAAGTCAGATATTATGTTGACTATTAAGTAGGAGATGGAAAATGTACTCTGTTTAAACTTATAAAGATAAGCTATGGTATTAAAATTCACTTATCAGAAGTTGTTTACACCACCGAAAGACATAAAAACACTTCGATGAAATATAATTATTGATGATTTTCTAATGGGACCATATAATGGTCTCCAGAAATTTGTATCATAATATTTGAGGGGAATCCAACATGAGTATCCGTATCCCAATCGGTAATGGTCAAAGCATAAAGCAGCCACTCGATTTTACTATTCCACTTTTATTTTTCATGTAGTGTTTCACTGAGTTCATTGGGAATTATTAGGAAGGTAAAATGGTACAATTAACTTAAAGAAACATTTCAATTAATAATCTTGAAAGTGCGGTGCACTGAATCGAATTAAAAAGTTTTTACCATTACAATCTGATCCGACTGCAAAAGTGCCTAAATGTTAATCGTAGAAAGTCATGAGTTACATTCAAAGATCAGTTAGGTATGTGTTATAGGTGAATGGTATGACAGGAAGCGAGAATTGTCCCAGCAATCGGATTTCTAGTAATTTCTTCAAATAACATTGATTAGCATTGGAAACTACATTGAGTGTAATCAGGATTTCTAGATTTTGAACATCTAATTTCATTCACCGCTCTAAACAAAGTAAAGAAAATTAGGTGTACATGGTATAGTGGGTACCTTTGAATCTTCAGGTTGTCACTAGTTTCACAGTATCTATCGTTGTTACTACTGTGTACTGTGTACAGGGTGTTTTGAAAAAGCAGAAGTAAAGATGTACAGAAGTCAAAGTTTGGAAATAGTATCATGAAAAAGGTATTCAAGAAAGTTATAAAAGTTTCTATGGTTCTTCATCGGAAAAATCTGAAATTCCCTCTTTCGGATTGTTTCAGTTCAACGGAATCTGTTAGATGTGTTAAGAATGTTTAAAATTAAAAGAAAAGTGAATGGAGATGTTACATTCACCTTGGTGACTAGCGATGGAATCTAAGACACGTGCACCGTCCTATTTGGGACTCATGAGTTGCACGTACCTGGACCCAAGTGAGTGATGCTGTTCCCACTGAGATTGGAATCCAGTATCCATCGCTTCAAACGCCAAAGCGTTATTCACTAGGCCACTGGGGCAATTCGACCCCGCATAGTAAAGGAAATTTGTAAGTGCCAAAACAAAAGCTGAGTAAAGTGTAATGATTCTATGACCTGGTGAGTTTAATAATAGCTATCATACTAGTTCAAGGACCATTAAAAGTCAACAGACTACGATTAAAAAATTTCACTATATTATTCAAATCCTACAGAGTAGGAAGTCTTTATCTGGCAGAGAAGTGAAATTACAACCTCTAGGTATTGTGAAGACAATTCAGTTGTTAAATTACTTAGTCGTAATGTGAGGATCATGATTTTAATTACAATAAGATCACTTGAAAGAGACCTTGAACTGAAGCGTTTTGTTTAAGTACTTCAAGTAGCCGAAACTTTCCACTATTTAATCATGATTTTCAACAGTAAAATTATTGTCTCTAAATCAAAGTTCGGTAAATGTGATAGTACTGAAATGACTGATTTTGTTTCAGTGACGAATCACCCGAAGAACTTAGCATTTCAAAGTTACTTACTTACTTCGATTTCAGTTACATCAGTCAAGATGACTTCATGAATCGGCAACCATTGTGTTTATTTAAAGTCAAGGATATAAAAGGAATCATAAAAACTTATGCTATGTAAAGGGTTAGACTTGGTGCTCTTGAGCTCGTGTTAGCACTTGTTAGGGAGGGATAAAGCCAAATGTTATGTATGCTGCTACTGTTCAACAGAATTTACTTGTAATTATAAGAAAAATTTTCTTCAATGCAATGGATCGTGATGTTGAATGTATTGAACTCTTGGTAGCAGTAATTACTGAAGTAGATAGGATTTTTATTGTCCTTAATAGATTCTTTTATTTCATATAGCACACGGAGACATAGTATAACTTACTAGATGACATTGTTCAATGGTGACATTGCAGTAAGTTTCAAAACCTCCTTTCTATTTACTCTGACATAGTTGTAAACAGTAAATTTCCCTCAAAGTGCCATCCACGAAGGAACAATCAGTCATTGTATGTAGTAAAAAATGATCTAACGTAGAATAGAATTATAATCTGTAACAAGTTCTACTCTGTCCTAAGTCTTGCCGAAACTTCTTTATTATTTTGGTATTATAAAGTTACATATATGTTTCATACTTATAGGATAAGAGTTTTTCTTCATCATAAAGACTAATAACCGGGCTGCAACATATGTAAAATTACCTGTTTATGTATAGTAAAGTCATAGTATTTTCATTTCGCTCATCCCTAGTACCTACTGTAATTTCATAGCGTAGTTCATTTTCATAGTCGGTAAGCAAGCAGAATAGCTTTTATTAGTTGACCTGAAAGTACTTGTTATTTACCACTTAGTGGTTACCTAACAGTCAAATTATGAATAGTCCTCTGTATCTACAAAAGACGAGCTTCAGACCTGAAGATAATCACAGCTGCTGTTTTTTTTTTACAGATTTTGGAAGAGATCTTCCCACAAATAAGAACTAACTAGAAAACGTTTATGTGACAGAGAAGTAAGCAATCTATAAGACAAGTTAGTAAAATCAGTAAGATTTGTAATTCAAGGTGAAATGTGAATCATTGTCTTCTGATACAACTGATCGATGTTTTACCAATCTCGTGATCAAGATTAAATGTTCACCTCCATCTACCAGGTTATTATGCCCGCCAATAGGAAAGGTAATCTTGTTGAAAACAGTGTCTGAAAAAGAGGTATGATAGTTACTAGTATTGCTAGTTATTTTAAAAATGAATTTTTCGGTTGTTTCAAAGAACCTAAATAAAGATTCTGAAATGGAGAATTTTTTCCATGGAATAAAATTCAGCACACCAATTGGACCAGATTTTAACGTCTTATGCATTTATTATTATTATTATTTGTCCCTTGGGCTCCTATTGGGATATAGGGCTTCAGTAAAACATCAACATTTCACTATCTTCCCCCAGTCTTCCCAACCTGACTCCATCACTGCACACAACCTCTCATTTCTTCCTCACACCATCTCCTCCATATCACCATCACCTCACACGCCCAACTCGTCCTTCCCCATGTGGGTTCCACTCGACAACCTGGTCTTCTCAGTGTATATCCAATTCAACCCAATCCATCTCCACTCTCTTCTGAACATCTGTTGCACGATACGATAGGTTCTTGCCTCCTCGGTTGGTTGTGGGACCAACCAGAGTGAGTTCCTCCTTGCTTATTCTTATCATTCTGGTCATCCATGTGATCTCCATCTTCAGTGTCAGTATGGAGTGAGCGTAGGTGGCAGCTGTTGATCATGTATGTCAGTAGATGGAGATTGTTGGAGATGGTTTTCGTGACGCGCCAAGTTTCTCAACCATCACATGGAAGTACTGAGTTACTTGACTGACGTTAGTGTTGAAGATGTGGATGTTGTTCACGCTTTATGCTGAGTGGAGTGTAGTGGATTGGAGTGGATTGGAGTGGAGTGGATTAGATGTCCACACTGGCTTTAGATTAATGTCGGAAGGCCTGTCTTTCTGTCTTTCCGATCCTGGTTTGACGTCGTCATGTATGCCTGTGCCAGCGCCTGTAGTTGAGAGGATGCTGCCTAGATATGTAGGTAGGTGAAAGAGACAACTTGTTTCAGATTTCTCCCGTTAATGATGAATGGTGCTGTTTGTTGATGTTGTTGTTAGTAATAAAATTAGAAATACATCCTGGAGAATGAATAATTGGCATATTACATCTGGTTATCCTATAAATGAAAGTTTTGTATCATTTGGTGCAGTGGTTACACAGCCTTGCTCTCAGTGTAATAATAGATAACAACGCAAGATAGTGACTTGCTTACAAACTGATGATCTCTATTGTCTGTTATCACTAGCAGTTGATTTATTTCAGCAGTAACATCTCAAATTATCATGCTGACAATATACTTTGTACCTACTGTGGAGGCTTGAAGTTACTGCAGTCACAAGATTCAACCTGTTGATGAGCATCAACAAAAAAGAACTTAAGCTAGATGTTTAATGTCGAGTTTTCAAATAAATTTATTGAAAATTCCAAAAACCAGTAAAAACCTACAGTATCAAAGTTGAGAAAACAAATTAATGTACACAGTCCTAGTAATCTGAGTACAAGTTGAAATTTTTAGCTACTTTATAGCATAAGTGTAACTTCTGAAATCCTGTCGAACAGGGGTCCCATAGAAGGTGACGAGTAATATTCTACACTTGAATAGTGTGCCCATTGAATTCAATTTTTTACCCAATGTACGAGTGAATAAAGCATTTAGATATGAAATACCATGATTGTCATTTTCAATTTCTGTTGTTGTAATCTTCATAACAAGTAGGTGTTTATTATTTTTCTGCTATACTGTGAAATCACGAAATATAAAAAAAACTTGGTCACTTATCTTCATTATTTTTTAGGTATTTAGTTGCCCAGCTAATTTAGCAAGTCATAGACGTTGGCATAAACCAAAATCCAATGAGATTTCTGAACAAACAGCTTCAGTACATGCTCCTTCATGCTCGGCATCTCATATTTACAGTAATTTTGCAAACAAGAAGTATTTTGACTGCAATTATAAAAAGCCCGTTACACAATCAAAATACCAAAGCAAAAGGATGTATTCGAGCAGTTTTCTCATGTGCAACAGAAACGCTGTAGTACCTCATGAGACACAGAAGTTAATAAAAGGTAATATACATGGAGGAACATGTGACACTTTTCATTATAATCAGTCCAACCAATCGATATCTATTTCTAAATGTCTTAAGAAGCTGAATTTCTCTGTTCAGGCATTACTTGAAGATCCATTCAACAATAATGATGATAACTGTCATTTGATGAATAATAAGAGTTCAATAATGGACTGTAATGAAAAAACTATTCATTCTACATTATCAGAACAACAAAAATATCATAATTCCAGTGAAATAAATTTAAACACTGTCCATACTACTGTTGATGACAATAAAAGTATTGCTAATTATTCTGTGGCTAATATCACTTCAAGTAGTATCTATAATGTTGATCTTCCGTTAACTAATAATCGAACTTCAATCAGATGCAATTACTGTAATTCAGTATTATCAACTCAAAATCTATTAGAAAGTCATATGCTTCAACATATTTTTGATAATCTGAAATCGGTAAACCTTCCAGTGAGTATTAACACTTCAGTGTGAAACCTACACACCAACTTATTCAATAAGCTATGAGTAAAACTTTATCCTGCTTATTATTTCATTGAATTTATTTACAAGTTTCTCTGATTCGTTTGATTATCATTGGACAGAATATTCTGGAAGAAAAAAATAAACAAACATAAAAACAAAATCATATTAACAAATGAATTTCTAATTCATAAAAATAATAAAAGTTAAATATTTGTGATTTTTGAAAAACAAATAGATAATAAAAAGTATCTTGGAGTTGTTTGCCTTTCTGCTTAGAAATTCTTTTCTATACACACACACTCTCTCTCTGTCTATCTCCCTTTGTATGCACAGTTTTCCTACCCCTTGTTTATTTTCAGTTACAGTCTGAACCTTTTGAATCAAGGAGGAGTGGAACGATAACGTACACACCCACAACAATAATGATAACAATCCAGAATTTGACAGAGGGACAAGGGGAGAGGTAAGATACTCAAAATTCTGTGAATTTCAGTAGATTATCTTTAAACCAATTGATTGGTTATTTAACGGAAGCACTCTACGGAACCGCTGAAACAAATCAAGACAATGTATATATATATATGTATATTTCGTTAAGGTTATGGTTATTTCTCAGACAGGTAAATGAGAATATTTGAAATTCCAGTAAGAAAAGCCAAATTATGTACTATTTTTTATTGCGATGTGAAATAGGATAGTCATCTACAAACGAAAATGACTCCCTTTCCGCATGAAATTGAATAATTTTCATCTAACCATAAAGAAACCCGCGCAAAACAGTTATGCTACTGCCTTCAGGAGTTTATTATCTCAATGAATGAATAAATAAATGAACGAGTAGATAAATAAATTAATAAAGAGATAAATGAATGACTTCACTTGTTTTATTCGCATTAAATGAAACTGCGCAATTTTATGTTATGTAAAAATTTTATGAAAATGTTTTGATAAACGTCAATAAGTCAAAATGAAAATTAGAATTTTGAACAAGAAAGAAAAATCAAATTTTATGCTCTGTATTTAGTCTACCGACTGTTAGGATACACATACGAGTTATGTATCCTCAGTAGTTATATGACTGTGAGTGCTTACATGCCTCTCATTTTGACTAAAAGAAGTTAAATACAAGTTTATGTATGTCTTTTCTTGACTGGAGAATTTATTGGGACTTAATTCTTTTCTTTTATTTCGATATCGTCTACTCATTTGTTTATCAAGTAGTATATTGTGATGAAGTAAAACACCAGTGCTATTTAAGGCAGACCAATCATGTTAAGCACTCAGTTAACTGCAGAAACCTAACAAATTGATATAACTCAAGGAAATGTCCATTGGAAGGTGAAAATTTTTCCTTCTAAAGTTCGTCCATTCTCATTAGCTTAGATCTATGATTTACAATTAAAAGATCATGGATCCAAGTCCTGCTTCGTCTACTTCTCTGCTGGTAGCCTGACAGTATCATAAACCCAATATGATATCGAACACAAGAGGTACAGCAAAGGCATTTCTTCAATGAATATGTTCTGAAGCTTTATATTTGTACGTAGAATTTTTCAAATTTGTAATCCTTCAGGAGATTCTAACAGTAAATGATAGAAATAACGATAATGACGGTTTTCTTTATAATTAATGTCACTAGTTGTAGACGTAGAAGTCGAATGATTATATAAAGGAATTAGTCCAGATTTCCGAATCACTCACAGAATGCTTATTGTACAATTAATGAGACAATGAAGTGAGATTAAGTGATTGTATGTTTTTGTTAATATTTATTCTTATTGGACAAATTAAGTGAAGTAGCACCAGAAAATGGCAATTATAATAGCGGAAATGATAATAAGAGAGAACAGATATTAGTTTTACAAAGAAGAAAACTCAAGGAAAGATAATTTTAACACCAAAGTAAAGATGAAAACTCCGCATACTTCTTTTGCACACAATGTTTAGGTTTCATCTTATTAATATTCAAGACCCTGGTTAATTACACGGGTTTTAAATGAAGATTACATATAATATTTGAGATAATTTCATAAATAGACTCAAAGTCACTGTTTACAACGGGTGAGTAGTAGAAATTTATCAAATGTGCAGTGACACAACTTCTTGGCTTCCACTTTATAAAATCAGGCTGGAATATACTTTTCCGTAGGCGTTGACAGCAATCTCCAACTGCAGTCGATTTATCCTTCTCAACAGAAGTATATGAACAGATAGATAGATATACAGGGGATCAGGTAAGGGAGCTTGTCTACTACATATATAAAGAATAATTTGGAGTTCGTAACAGTCAAATGAAGTTTTTGCAGGAAAAGTGTTCTGCTGATTGGTTTACAAAGATGAGCTTTCTGTACGTCTAATGTTATACTACTGTCAAACTCCAAATTTATGAAAAAGTCTTTGAAAAACTTTATGGTAAAGTATTTATTACAATGAAAAGGAGCCTTATCCAACCGCATTATTGTCGAATATAAAATATTTACTGGGTAGATTGTGTTGAGGATGAATTAGTTTTTGTTATATGCACACTTACTAGAAATGGTCAATTCAGGTGTTTTTCTGATAAAAATATACAAGACAGGTAGCCCATTATGTGCATATATTTGTCAACCTGGAGATATAGTATCAGATAAATGCTTTCGAAAAAGACCGTAACAAGATCAGAACGTTTATGAATAACACAAAAACATGTTTGTTTATCCTAAGTTCACAATATTAGAACAGATTCAATAGGTTAGAGTAGATTCTACTTTCTTAAATTGTGCTGATTAGTCAGTCCTCGTGAAAATTCACACAAAAATTTTAGTTAAACTTTAAGAAATATTATATGGATCAGAATTAGCTCATTGAATGTTATTGAGATAAAAGTCGTTCTTTTTCTAAATTCGTAAACTACAGAAGAGAAAATGACACATTTATCTCAAGAATATTTGTTTCTCAGACATGTTTTTCATTTTATATATTGGGCTAGTAAGGTGCTTGACTGTGCCTATGTAGAGTTCAGGGCAGTGTTGTATAGCCTATTAGATCAGTACAAAGAAGATGGGAATCAGTCATAACAAAAGGAGGTTAAGGAATACAAGACAACAGAGAAGTGATAAGAGACTGAGCAATTATACTGCTTATACCAACGGAAAACTTAAAGTATCAATAGAAAACAACTAATAACCGTTGCACATGTTGTGGCCTAGTGGATAATGGTCAGGGTTTGAGTCTTAGTGGGAAAAACCACCTGGTGGAGTGCAGGTACATCCGGCTGACGAGTCCAAAATAGGAGGAAACGCACTTTCTGGATTCCTCTGCTATCCACTAAATAGACTACAGTATGATATGAGAATAACTGAATTTTTAGTGCTACCTCGGAATGAGGAATAAATACTCCTGAATGACTTCAAATGATGATGTGATTTTATTAGTCTTGTTTCTTGAAAGTAAACGTTGCGTGCAAAGTTGGAGGTGATAGAAGTTGATTTAAGAGACTGATGGTGTGTCTGACTTGAAATTTTATCCTTATAATATATCTTACTCTATATTTGTCGACAACACAATGTGGAAAATTTAGTCATCATCGAACTGTAACATTTTGTTCCCTTTTCTTGAGCTACTGCTTACTTCATTCAACTATCCTTGTTGATTATCAAAACGTTGTCATCAAATTTAAGGCGAAAGTGATTTTTTTGATAAACTTATTGGGACATTATCAAGATAGACCATCTTTGTTACCGGTGAGTTTATGCCTCTGGACTTCTTGTCATTCCAATAAACATGATATGTTGTTAACAACTGATGCAACTCCTGGTATTTTGCAGCAAACTTATGGACGATATTCCTTTTTTTCTCAGGAAAGGTTTATTGCAGTTAGGTAACCGTTTCAACAATAACTCAGATCAGGGTAGAATCAAGTAATGTGTCACTATTTGGAATCCTCATTATTATAATCTGCTCTAAGAAATTATTCAGATACCTTAGCACATGCAAGCATATTCCTTTCCATCGTCTACTGGAAATAGAAATAAATCTAAGTGCATTGATGTCTTTTTCATCGTCACAGATTTTATTTGCCATCAAATATTTTGAAATTTTTTGTTTTCGTATGAGTAGATAGTTTTTCTACAATACTTGTTAAATTCGTTCCACAAAGAAATTTAAAACAATTCATAATCGGTTTGGTTCGGTGCCCCGTCTATATTCAGTAACCACAAAACTGTAGTATAAGCTATGAGAACCTAATCGTATAATTGACTTTTTTAATGATTTGATCCATTCTGCGATTTATTTCTTTGCGCATGTTATCTTTATTATACGATGGCTTGGGTTACAGTGTCTTCTTGTGAAAATAACATTTATTTTGTCTTTCTGAGCTTTTTGGTACCTTATATCAAGTCATTATGGACAGCTGTTCTTGAAGAAAATATTTCTTGAACCCGAATTTCACTCTCGGCAATGTTATCACTAAAGCATTTTCTTGTCTTATTAAAAAAAGGAGTAAAACTGAACTGTTTACATGCTAATTTTGTAATGAATTCGCGGAAATGTGTTTATTATCCCCGCCACATGTGTTTTGTACAAGAAATATGTAAAGTTCTATCAGTTCATTTCTTTAGAATATCCTAATCTGGTAGATTCCTTACTTCATCCTGTTCTTCTAAGTCAAGAATTAGAACTAGCATTTTCAACTAGGTACCAATACAATTCTCCTCTAACTTGAAGCTGGAAACAACAATAATTTTGTATTTTGAGGTGAATGGGGATTTTAATTTTGAGGTAGTATTCATCAACGGTTGACATCTGTTGAATAACTGTTGAAAACTTGGGAGTCCTACCTCAAAATTAAAATCCCCATTCACCTCAAAATATAAAATTATTGTTGTTTCCAGCTTCAAGTTAGAGGATCATTACTATAAAGTGCTGATTAGTGACATGCTTCCGGATGGATATCAGGAAATTCTAAGGAGAACCCGTGACCTGTGAGGTCAACCAGTCAGGAGGGAAGCCGATGCCATCTGAAGACC